GTGTGGGATTTCACGATTTATTTATTAGATGTCAATTAGAATTGATCACCAAAACTATCGTGTTGTAGAGTTGCCCTTTTTTGAATAATAAGAATAAGTAAGAAAATAATGGAGGCTTGGCTGGTGTTGATGGTGCCTTCTTTATTTGTCTACTCTTGTCTTATTCATGTTTATACATTACCTTCTCTCTGTGACCTGTACTGTATATTCTACTTATTTCTTTTCACTTATTAGTAGTTAAATAATACAATTTGGAGAATCACTTACATAATAATGTTCGTCTGTACCCATGTTATGACTAATTCCTAGAAGTTCTTACTTCGTTTATCACTTATGGGTTCAATCGCCATACTTATATTTCAGGAACTTCACGTTCCTTATGCGATGGTTATGAAGTATGAGTAGAATAATTCAAAAAAGAGTTTAAGCTGACACTGTCAATCGACGAAACACTAACCACTCGCTTCTCAGAAAAATATTATGAACACAGTCGCGATCAATTATTAAATAATGTTGGTTCAACACTTAACCAAATAATGCATTATAATACACAAACAATCGTACATATAAATTAATGTTTTCTCTTGTTTTAAATTTACAAGGATTTTTTTGTACATGTTCAATAATCTTAAAGAACCAACCCAGAACGTACACTTGGGCAGAAAACAAAGAGAAATTCCATTTTTGTTTATATTAAAATTAAAATAAATATTGAACAATAATTTAAGCCTATCACGTTAAACAGAAAAATGTTCTAACCACTTACTATCATCAATCAAAAGTAGAGAAGGAACAATAAGATTTCTTCAATTATGAATGAATGGTGAATTACTTATTGAAGTATTGCTCTTGACTTTCAAAAGTCGACTTTCGTACTCAATAAACTACAGTATGTACACTGTTTTGACCTGCCACCCGGGGAGATAACACGTTATAGCTTATTTCATCTCGACCAGGATGATAAAATACCATAATCTTTACATCATTTATACCAGAAAAAGCATTAAATTGTCCCACAAGAGCTATATATATATATATATTTAATATTAACTATGATTGAAATATTAAATGATAGGACTAACACTTACCTAGTTGAAGCTTTAAGTTATCGGAGAATGGTTTTCACGAGCTAAAACGTATGAAAATATAAAGTATTAAAAAGTAGCGTCTTTATAGTTTGAACCTTAGCGATAGTATACACATAGAATTCTACTTTTTAGGAGACCGTGAATTGAAAGTCAGCTAATTTAAGAATTAGTGCATAGTATAGAGATGATATCGTTTGAATAGACTTTACTTAATAAACTAGTTCATACGTTACTTGTTTATTGGTCTGACTGCACGTATACGCACTTTTCAGTTTTATTTAGAATAAAAATCCTGATAGTAGCAATTTATTTTCGTATTTTCATTGTTTATCCAGTTCTTCGGATAAATACCACAGATTAGTAATGTATGAGAATTAACTTGATGCAATATATCTTCGAACTTATCCGTTATATCTAGATTAACTTTACCTGACCGCGAAAAAACAACATATGGAAATCCATTCATCATTTTCGCACGTTCACATGCCAGAAGTTCCAGAAAAACGTTTTCTACTAGTTTACTGTTTCTCTATCTTTGAAAGGTGCCATAGATTATTCTTTTGTTAAAGTAAAAAACTATATATTTCCATCTCTTTGAAAGTTTACTTAAACCTACACAATCGTTTTGGAAAATGATGTGTGTATCTGATCGATCAGTATTGATTCTCACGATGAAAAATATTGATGGTCGTTTGTAACTTGGTTGTGTACAAAAAATATCTCTTCAAATAGAAATATTATCGATTTTTCTCATTAATAATATCAATTCACATTGCTGGGAAATTTTATGTTTTTCAATAATTTAAAAGTGATTCATCATCAGAACTTCTAATCCCTAAAATTGGATTGTGTTACTAATATTTTGTGATTCTGAATACTTTGGAAAATTAAGCTCTATTCATTATCGATAGCAACTAACTAACCATTTAGATTCAGGAATGGCTATATGTATACTTGAATTCTGGAACCAAACGAGTTAAACAGTACTGATCCCTTAGTTATTCAACGATTTGTTGTATTCAATTGGTGTGTCCATTCATTTAATTCTATTCTAAATTTTCGAAAAACGGTCATTCCTTACACTAATATAGACCTATGTAAAGTCAGTCGTTAAAAGTACTTTTTGAACTGCTTTACATTATTTTTTTGAGGATTCCATTTACACGGGAATCAGTAGATTTATCGATTCTTGATTTAGAAAAAAACCAAATACTTCTGGTTCCTATTGTTATAGAATAATTGTATGAATACCCTTTATATGAGAATAAGTGGTGGTTGGAAGATTTTCTACAAGAGTGTGATTATACCGTTAATATGAATTAATGCATTAACTTGTTTTATTTACACAATGAGTCCTGCCATCATTTAATGTTTTCAGTGATGACGAAGTAGATAATTAATTGTAATAATAATTATTATTAAGAATAAAACATTATTTTGTGTTCATCTGTTATTCAAAGTACATGTGCTTGGTGAACATGAATCATATAGAGCTAAATATGTATTATCTTTAATCAGATTTATTGTTTCTAGGTTTCATTTTTTGTTTAAATAGTCGTTTTATTCAAATGCAGATACACATATGATGTATATTTATGTATTTATTTTCTTTGATTTTTGCTGATATTAAGTGTGACAACTTGAATCGATATACCTTTTTGGTTTGTGTGAAACGTTCTAACAGTTTTGATGTCCAGTAGTCTATTCTCTGACTAGAATTAAAATATCCCCGGCCTGTACTATTTAGTTGCTATTGACGATATAAATACTTTGTTCATTATTTAAACACATAAACATTGGTACGAGGAGGCACGAAACAGATATGCGCTACATAAATCATTCGATTTTTGTGAGGGCTGGGATAGTTCTTGGTTTCCAAAACTGAAGCAGGTGGTTATTTAGAGGGCCACACCCCTAGAGGGAGAGTCGACTCTTCCCACTCTCAGCCGTACGAGGGGGTTTGGGGGCTGATATAAATGATATATAGTGTTATCGTCATTTCGCACCCACCTCCAAATACTCTAATTTATTTTATGTGGATCGAAAACACTAGACGGCCGTTTCGTTCTAGTATTGGACTCCTCAGTAGTGTGCGTCCACGATGCCTTACGCGGGACTCGATCCCGAGACACTCGGTCTTGTGCGCGAACACCTAACCTCCGGACCACTGGGCCGGCATCCAACGGTGTTAATATCTAACTCTAATCTCTACAAACCCCTATTCTGATAGTTTTTCCTGGGTGTTGGTTTTGAAGGTTGCATCGGGTCTCATGTCAGCTCATCTAACGACCTGGTTTCTATATGCTGATCAGGTTCTCTTTTTTTCTGTAGATTTACTAGGTATGTTACGTTCTATCTCTGACAAACTACATTTTAGTATATTGAATGAATATATGTTTGAACTTGATCTCATAGATATCGGCGGACTTTTTATCACTGTTAATTAGTTTTGTGTTTTAGCAATTTTTGATTTTATTTCCATATACTTTACAAACAGTTTTCACTACGAGAAATTGTTTCATTTTTAACAATGAACTGTAGAAAATAGGGAAGAAATAAACTTCATCTTGTGAAAGAGAGCTATCGTTCGGTTACTTTTACTTTGGTCTCGAATAAGTGATTTACTTATTGCACCTACTTGTAAGTAGTGTAATGTTAAGTGTGAATTTTACCAGCTTGCTTTCAATGTAGGAACCATCTTTAACCTCGATGACTTTTTGCTATATTTATCGATATTGACATTGATACTCGATAATTTATAACTCTCGGATTACAATTCCCCTTATACTTAAGTTGCGTCCACTCGTTTTGTAGATTCAATTATGTAGGCACTTAATGAATTTAATAGTTCATTTTGGTATATGTACTTAGATAGCTTAAACAAAAAAGTCCTTTTTTGCTTTGTGATAAGTAACTTATTTGTTAGTAGTATATTTCAACCTATATTTTCTTATGTCTAATGAAAACGTTTTTCCAAACGTCATTAGATAAAATAATCTTGTGTATTATGAAGCGATTCCTAATTGTCTTTAACTACCAGGCGTTTATTTTTTGAACTTCGTAAATCCAAAGTGCTTTCACTTTTATCATTCGTTTTTGGTGCCAAAAATGTGGAAATGTGAAGGCTTTCCCATCTTAGAAGTTGCTTAAGCACATAAATTCACACTGATATACTCAATCATATATTTATAAATGTCGCGAAACCAGTTCATATTAATGGTGATCAAAATGTGAAATATTCAAATCTTCCTAGGTGTATTGGGTTTTTTACACCGAGCAATCGGACTAAAATAACTAAATGGGTGTGAAACGATTACATAGAAGTGCATGACGCTATCTAAATGCCAATTTTGTTTAGGTTCATTGAACAGATTTTAGTTATCACGCTAAAGGTGACTGTAGAAATTAGAATTATTTTTGACAGTGCTACGTGATTACATGATTCAGTGAGATATCTCAATATCCTGCAGTTGTCTTCAGACAACGCATCATAAGTATAGGTCTAAATGGACCGATTCCCGAGAATACCTTTCCATGCAGTATAGGTCATTAGCTATGTCAATGGCTAACCAAAACAGTCAATGGGATGACAATAAGAGATCTGCGATTAAGTCTTCTAGCTCATAAAACTTGTCAGCAGAATGTATTTGTGTTAAAAATGGATCTCCTCCACCCTGCTATGCTTTGGAAACCGAATCCACTGTTGTATCATATATTTTCTCTATACACCTAGTTCACCTCTACTTTGTTTGATTTGATGTGCGAAATCGCGAATGCATTTGATTTAGTCGGATTTCAAGCTGTTGTAAATAGTCATTAAAGACCTTTATTTTTGGATATTATAATCCCCATTTTTACTTCCATTTATATAAACCTCTATAAGCTGTTATTAATTTCTTTTTTAAATTCTAGAACAGAGAATATGTAGCACATGCAGGAGCTAGATTCCCTATAAAGTGGACATCACCTGAAGCAGCTAATTATTCACGTTTTACCATAAAGTCTGACGTGTGGTCTTTTGGCATTCTGCTGACTGAAATAGTCACATATGGTCGTTCTCCTTATCCAGGAATGCATAATGCTGAAGTCCTCAGACAAGTGGATGCTGGATACCGCATGTCGAAACCACCCGGTTGCCCACCAGAAATATATGACCTTATGCTAGAATGTTGGGCAGCTGATGAAAATAAACGACCATCTTTTGCAACAATCCACTTTCGTTTGGAACAGTTCTGCGAAGATGAACAACCAGCCTACAGAAATGCAAATACCAATATCCATAGTCATCCTAATGGAAATTCAATAGCTTTGCAAAATAAACAAAATCCCTCCTCTGGAGCCTACCACAACCACATCGAGATTTCTGTATCACCATAACTTTTAGATTCTTGGTATAGTGACATCAGTGTCCTGAATTGAATGATAATGACCGCAGTGATTCGGCACTTACAACTTTGTTTCTATCAAATCATGTAAATTTAACTCCATCTACCTGTAAATATGAATACCAAATATTGATGTTCAAGTATAGGGACTATTTGTATGACAGACTAGTCATGAAAACCGGAACCAACCAAATAGCTTCTCGAAGCAATATGTACTTCTGTTTGTTGATAACTCGTTTCAATTATTATACAAATTATTTTGTACCACGTTATGTTTATCCCTCCCTGATTTAACCAACTGTTAACTTATTGTTTGGCCATTTGCTTGTTCTCTGTGCTAAAGCCTAGGTTTTTTTTACTCAGTCTCTTCTATAAATAAATCAATATCCCGACCCTTCAAGTTTTTATTGATACTGTGACCCTAAGTATATACTACAAAATACTATTGGTAGTAGTAAATTTCAGGAAAAGGGGCTATCTTGGAGTTATCAGATGTTTTCCAGTGTGCCAAGTAAAATAACATTCATGACTACGCGATTCGAGTGTCTTATTGGTACCATCGACCGATATAAGTTAAACAAGCATCGAGAATCTGAAGACACTAGACAGCCGTCTTATCCTAGTATGAGACTCCTCAGGAGTGGACACTCATGACTCCGCGACGGGGCGCCGAACCAAGACCCTTTGGTCTTGCGCATAACCTCTAGACCACTGAATTAGTATCCAATGGTGTAAGTTTATCTTTAACCAGCTTACGGTAATCTGTTGAAGACTAATGACCCATAGCCAGGGAAGTAGCAGAGCTGAACATTCATCCTGTCAACTCGGGCAGTTGATAAACATATCATGTGTGATTACTCTGCATATTCACTTGCTTCTAGGACTCCGAGGTGTAAAGTATATTTCTAGTGTGAGATGTAATACCGAATTAACAGAAAATATCTAGCAAACTGATAGTCACGAGGTGCCCTTAGAGTTGTACTATCTCACTGGTTGATAAAGCATTGCTAACTTAGAGGACTTCTGTCTAAACTCTTTATCTATTACTGATAGAACTAGTACTTTGGTATGCATCTAACTCTAGTTATGAAACTTTCAGTATTAGACATTTGTGATGGGTTTTCAAGTTGCTTATGACTGCTTTTTTAGACAATTTCGTAGTAAGTTGGATTTAAATATAAACTACCAGTTTACCTCTTTCGGAGTACAAAAAACAGATCAAGGTGTTGATCAGAAGTGCATTGTTTCTAGTTTTTTTATAGGCCCACTAAACAGGTGGCAGAAGTTATACATGTACAAAGCATTACCATTTATTTAATTTACACGATAAGTCTAAGGGTACCGACATTTTTATTATATCACCAACATGACCGGAAATTGAATACAATATTATGTACAGAGAACTGAAAATAAATACATTAAGTATGATGAAATTGGTCAAAATCCCGAATATTATGTATTGCATTAGCCTTTTTCTGTCTTGGGTCGATTGAGTTTACTTGATATATTTGTCGACTTTACACGTTTATCACGTTTTTTCAAACCATCAATATTAGCTTTCAGGAGATTGGAATAAGCTTGATTGAATCTGTTCATGTCCTTCTGGTGAACCTATTTCAAATAATTACAGAAACTTTTATTTAAGCATTCAAATTTTCGTACCAATAATTCGAAAAGTGAGATTAGTCTTACACCTCATAAATGTATTTGTTCCTTCCATGTACTTGTGAATTATATCGTTAAGAGTCCTAAATTTGTGTTTTCTTATTCTCTGGTTGTGATTTATTATATTTTTAAATCTATTTTTCGTTACTGATTATTAGTATAATGGCGATCGTCGTTTTTATCTTTAAAAAGGAGCCACATAGTTTATTCAACACCTATGAGGGTATAAGTGTATTTCTGATTTCTTCCAAACGATTGACGCTTATCATACTCCATAGATTATGCTGAACCGAGGACTGGTCTGTGAGGAGTGAACATATGTATTATTCAGGTCATGGACGTGTTGATTATATATTTATCTTCCCCAGGAAGTTTATTAACATTTTAAGGGTTCTTCATAAACCCATCAGGCAGGTTAGAATATATAGCCATTTTTCTTAACTGTTTCGTTTTAGTAGCAGATATGATAGGTTTGCCTTATCTCACCACTCGCCTCTAACTTTGTTGTCAGTGACACTGAAAACAGCCCTAAAGGCAGTACATGACGGTGGTGTAGATATGTTACTAGAAGATGGTCTTTGACTTCAAGTATGCGGATGGCAACGTTTTAATGTGCGGTGTGCAAATTATTGAAATCGTACTTAGTCAGTTAGGAATTACAGTCTTTAATTACGGCATTTCATTCACACTTTCGAAACACCAAACATTGCTGCAAAACATGCAGGAGCCTGTGTATGTATCCACATTTCGTGACGAGTTAGGAATAATTGGATAGTTATGAGTTTCCGAGGGGGGTTAAGTGGCAAACTGATCTACACATATAGTGGGAGCTAGCGTCTTTGGCCACTTGGGAGTCGTCATGATGTTCTTCACAATACATAAAGTAGATTTTGTACCGTCGACAGTAATTCTAGCGTATTCTTGTGTAACCTGACCACTTTGAGCTAAGAATTTTTGAAGACCTGAGCGTATGGTCAGCACTGTCTCACAAGCATTGCTCGTATCCAGTGACAATACTGTGTAAGTAATATTGGGCAGTTATGACAATTCAATTGGTGTCTAATTCAGTAACCCGGTAATGTTTATACAAATGTCATCCCAACGGTTTCCAAAGGCTGCCTTATTTCCCGATGCTAAGACGGTGGTATAATAAATAGTAAAATAGGATTAACATTTGCAAGCCCATCATCTCTCGGTTGGGGTCTTACAAGTGATACAACTCCGTGACTTGATACGCTATTCAACATGATTTGCAACACAAGTCAATGGACCAACTGATTTGTAAGTGTTTCGCGACCTACGTGTGCGTTAACTCAATAAATAATAAGAATTATATTTTTACCAAAGAAGATCTCGATATTTCGAGTTTCCCATTTTACCATTTCCTAATCCCTAGTGATCTGGAGAGTGAATAGTCGATATAGATATAATCCAGTTAGATATTAGAAGCTGATGAGCCAGCCGTTCGAATAAACGAACTAAGAATAAGAACATGGCAACCTCAATACTAGTTTAGTGGTATAGATACATTCGGTTCTTTACACATTAAAACGAGCCGACAAATATCAGTGAGTTTGGATGAAATCAGTAAAAATGTCCAACAATTAGCAATACCACTTTCCTAACACTGAAGTAATATAGATTACGGAAGATAAATAAAAGGAAAAAGCAGCAAAATCCAGGGACCCTAGAAAATTAAATGACCAGTACTCTTGAAGTTAGGCTTAAGTACATGAATAAATGGGTTATTCAATAAGACACTTGAATAAGAGGATCGTCATATCATTAAACTTTGGGAAGATAGCATTTAGTGATATCTAGAATCTGAATAACATATCATAACTCACGAGCTATTTCACCATCTAAAGCAGAACGACTATTTCTACAATAATAGTCCTGGAACTACAACGATGTCGTATTAACAGGACGATCAATTATATCACGAGTTTCATCCTAAAAACGGTGGATGACTTTTACAGGTTGAAGCGCTTTACTTTTATAAGATACCCTCATGTCTGTATCAACCATTGGGTTTGTACCGACCAATGAGTTTTACGAGACGAATAATAGCAGTGCACTAAACATCAGAACAACCATGTTAGCAATTTTAATACTGTGAGGTATTTCACATAATATTGTATGTGAGTGCATTCAACATATTCTGAAATGAGGGACAGCTTAGAAGCATTACTTACGTGCAACTAAGTACGGCTATACAAATTAACAGTCATTCACTCTAAAGCGATAGTTATTAAATTGTTCGGACCGAAACTTGAGTGATACAGTGGAGTCACACCCGCTAAAAACAATCTAGGTTTTTTAGGTACAATACTGCTGCCACCAGGTAGGACTAGACGAATACGGAGGCTGAAACCTACAACTCGCACAAATGCTGCCGGAAAGCTTCAATAAAATGAGTTTACTAACGAAGAAGTGAATAAAAGGTCGCTCCATAATATAATTTTCAAAGCCCATTACACAGTAATTCTAAACTCACCACAGTACTAATTTTCTGGTTTCCAAGTGTAGCTCGAAGAAGACAGCTATTTTCGCTAGTTACATGAACATCCTTTACTTTTTGAACCCGCTTGGGAATAGGTTTAACTCGTCCATCATCTAAACGTAGGAAAACATACAGTACAAGAAAAAACACTTACATCTTTTCATTGTAATATACAGTGATCCGCTAGACTTTGACTGATTGAAAAGCTTGTGAAGGGATGTGAGGAACTGAAATTCTATAAGAAAATTAAAATAGAATAACTGACTGTGTCATTGTCCAGCAACATTCCGACGAGTGTAGCGCAAACATTTGAAAACACTCCGCAGACGACACGTCTGAAAATTCTTTCAATGTACATCATCATCAGGTGTATGAGACAATAATAGTAGTGCTAAAGGCTTTTCTTCTGACTTTATTGATGCGAACGTCTTAAAATGGTTTGGTGCGTTATTTTGCATCTGAAGAACTATTACTATATCTGAATACCTCAAGATTATTGTGGGTATATAAAATATATGGTAGATTTCTCATTGTCGCCAACCATTAGAAGCATTTAGTCATGAAAAGTTAGAAGACGATGCCTGGCAAACTACAGTGTTTGAATCAGTTGGTCTCGATACTGGTATGTTTTCTGACTGATAATCGGACATGACGACTGATGTTCCTAATGGTTCCGAATGAAATATCTACTCCACATCTTTGATAAAGTATAAAAATGTAACTTCTCTGATAATATGATACCTAAAGGTTTCTTGAGTTTTCACTGTTTAAAGCATCTCCTTCAGGATCGTTTATACCAACAAATCTTGGTCGACATACATGTTTAAAATTTTTTTGTGAATATCCGTCATTAGACTGCAGTCAAATTCCTCTTATCGGTTTGTTTTATCACTTATTTTATTCTGAATGGGTGTTTCACGGTAAGTAATCTTTTCAATATTATAGACTACCTGATCATTACATAAAGCATTACTTTACTGCTAGATCTACCTCATTAGTTTGTAGTGACTCACGTTTATCACGAGAACACGACTGGTTTAATAAAAACAATTATTATTACAACCAACTGTACCAGTGTTTGTTTTAATGTGCTTTTGTTTGACTGTACTAATGACAGCTATTTTGTGCTTCCTTTCTTTCGCTCACACTTTGATTGTAACTTCGCGCGAATTCGGTTACGTTCTGTAACCAAGCTTCTATCCTGGCACGATCTCGGTATCCTTTCGATGC